ATTCAGGATAACATCCTCCAAGCTAAAAAAGTCTGTTTGGCCTCTTCAGTCTAGGCAAAGAACAGGACACTCAGCTGGGAGGTCTGCAGGGATGAACACGCTGCTCCTGGCAAAATTCAAAGGTGGGAAGGGAATATATGGAAGATAGAAGCAAAGACAGTTATTCCTGGGAGGAATATAGAAAAGCTGAGTATTCCGGGGTGGGGTTGGGAAAGCCAGAGCCCACTTGGAGTCAAATGTGGTGAGAGCTGTCAAAGGCTGCAAGAAGAGCTTTCATAAATACATCAGGAGGCAAAGGAATACGAGGGGAAACATGAGCCTGCTGCTGAGCTGGGCAGGGCCTGGGCACAGGGTGTGAGGGGCTGAGGTATCAAACATCTCATCTCAGTCTGCAGCAGCAGGGCCGGCCTGCACAAACACAAGGTCAAGTCAGGGAACACCCAAACTGGACTTCCCAAAGCCCCTGAGCCCTGATGGGTCTGTGCACAAGGCTGCTGCCTGGTTTCTCCCGAGGTCACTCTCCACAACCTGGAATGGCCATGGAGCTTGGGAGAGGCTCCTGAAGCCTGGAGGAATGCAAATGTCCTTTGTCTGTTCCAAAAGGGCAGGAAGGAGCAGCCAGGGAGCTACAGCCAGCCATCCTGGCCATTGGAACCATCCAGGGTGGAGCACCTAAAGTCCTCTGTGAAGAACATCCATGGTTGTTATTGTGTTTTTAATGTGTAAAAATATGCACTTCTGGAGGAATTTCTTTTATAGGAAGAAGTATTCAAAGTCTGGCTTCTACATACAGGCTTTGAAAAGTAAAAGTAGCCTGATTTTTGCCTTGATGGTGGTTATGTGAAGGTATTGTGAACAACTGGAAACTCAATTTTGAGAGAAATCAAACATTCCTTTACCTATCCAGGCCAAATTAAGGCTTAAAACTTTAAGGTAGTAACTGTTTTGTTCTATTGCTATGCTGTATTTATACAGACTAAAAGCCCTAAATTATGAATAACTTAAATTTCTCATTGGAATTAATGATTACAGTCCCAGAGAAATATCAAAGTTTGTAGTAAGCTTTGCAAATTCTTTATTTTTTCCTATCGTTCATAAGTAGGGGAAACTTACCACCGATGCAGCCAGCCAAAAGGAAAAAGAATAAAGTAGAAATTTAAGCAAAATATAATATTCATTTTTGCTCCTATTCAGAATTAATGATAATGTTTGTGATTAGCCTGTCACACAAAATACAAAAAATTAAATGCAATAAAGGCCTCTGTATTTAGAATTAATTAAAAAATAGTTAAATAGAGCACATCACTAAGGAGCTTTTCTTGTTCGCTTGAAGTTAAGTAAATATGCTCAGTGTTGCAGGATGGGTATGTAAACACTGGTAAGAGAAGGAAAAAAGAAGGTTTGGAAAGTGGAATCTGCATTTGTATTCGGGACTGGCTGCAAGTCAGGGTGGCTATTAGAGGTGTGAGAGGTGACCTGTGTACATCTGATTTTGAAGCTAATTTATGTTTACTAAACCCTCTTATATGAAGCTGACCCTATTTTTATCTTCTGGTTTTGGCCCCTTCAGTACACCTAGATTTTTTTTTGTCCTATTGCACAAACAAGTGAAGATCCTTTTTCATGTCCTAATACTTTTTTATAAGCCAAGGCTTGAGTTTAAATGTTGAACATAATTGTGTTTCTTATCTAAAGACAGGTAAAAATTGATGAAATTCTGAAGTGATTCAGCTGGTACCATGAAACTGATTGTGTTTGTTGGGCCCATAGAGTAGGGGGAAAATAACCAACACATAAAGATGTGTTGAAGAAACTTTTGAACAAATAAACAGAAAAGTATCCTTGGAGAGCCTTTGACATCCACCAGCCTTCTTTATGTGGTAAATATCAATAAATGTCTACGAAAAGATAAACTCAGAGTTATCTAATGTAGTGAATACAGGGATGGTATTTTTGGATTTCTTAATGTAGCTTTTCATTCTGCAATGCATCATTAGGTGTTATCAACAGCAAGGAAAACTGCCAATCATCTTAACAACTAACTGCTTTGAAAAAGCCATCTAGTGACTTTAATTATGAGTAAGTATTTATGAAATTAAGTAATGCCGAATACACAAATTCCATCTGGTAATGATCAAGGTGTTTATTTTCTCCATATTGTTAAGCTTTGCTTTTGCAGAGCTCTCTGAGCATATGCACACTTCTGAAGCTTGGAGAAGCCTCTTACATAACCAACATATTTTAATTACCTTGAAAAAGAAACCCCCAAAGACCTCCAAGCCCCTTTTGTTTCTCCAGCAAGCAGCTGTACTCTTTACCTCCCATTTTAATTCAATATTCTTTCTGTGATTTACCTTCCCTCAGAATTGTTCCCTGGCAGGGTGGGCAGGCCCTGGCACAGGGTGCCCAGAGCAGCTGGGGCTGCCCCTGGATCCCTGGCAGTGCCCAAGGCCAGCTTGGACATTGGGGCTGGGAGCACCTGGGACACTGGGAGCTGGCCCTGCCCATGGCTGGGGTGGAAATGGGATCAGTTTAAGGTCCCTTCCAACCAAAGCATTCTGGGATTCTGGGGTTTTTTTGTTTGTTTGTTTTTACAGTCTGAAATAATTAAAATAGAAGTGAGTGAGAGTAGCCCTACAACGTTCCCTAGCCTGGGAAGCAGGGTTTGGGATAAGACATCCAATATCTTACTCTAAATAAGTTTGAACAGGGACTTGCTCCCCATTCTACTTCAACTCATCTAAGGGCTTTACTCCAATAGTATTAAGCAATTCCTCTCAATTTATGCTTTTAATTAATGGAAAATAGAAACAAATAATACACTGAAGTGCAGACACTTTGGGCAGATGAACCTCAGAAGTCTGTAAGAATTTTTCAATCCGTGCTAGCTGAGGTTTTTTATTCATTCACAAACTGTTGGGATACCTTCTGAGTATGCATTTCTAAATCTAAATATTGCACCATTTTGGAAAATTTGAGGATCTGGTCAGGACTGGATGAATATTGCCCAAACCTGGAGGTGCTAGATGAATGTAGGTGGAAAACAGCTGAAAAACCTGTGTGACTGAAAATAAATACCCTGTTATGTCCCTGAGGAATTTAGAGACTTAACTTCTGTATAGCTTTGTAATCAATGAGAGTAATCAACTGTTAACATGTCTTGCAGCTAAGAGCTCAGTACCATTTGTTAGGTACTGAAGTATCTTTGCAAATCTGGCTCTCCATCCTTCTGGCATATGGAATCCTCCTCCTCTCCCTCGATTGTGCTGTTGCTTTTGGCAGCACTGGTAGTACTGCCCTTTTTACTATTATTCCTCCTCCCCGTGCAGAAACTACTGTTTAATGTGCTGAAACCTTCTGCTCCCTGACAGTCAGAACCCAGAACCACGGTGGGTTGGAGCACATTGTCTGACCCACTGCTTCTCACTGGCTGTTCTTCTCCTCCCCTGCACATTTCCATTTCCCAGGGTGCCCCTTGCGCATCATTTCTGTGTTTGGAAGCATTTAACTACTCTTAATTTTTATTTCTTTTTGGTTTTGTTTTACTTTCCTTTCTTGGCTCTAGACATATTTTGCTGGTACACTGTTGTAACCCTGGGAGGATGGGAGAAAAAAGCAATTATCCTTACCTTAATTACCCTTACTATCCTTACCTAAACTTTTTGTTTGGCTCACTGTATGTACATACAGAAGGAAAACAACCTATTAGTCCTCATTCTAACAAATTCATTGACCTGACTTGGCCATCAGAGGTTTTAGGTGCTGGAATTTTATATAGCCAGTCCAAAATCTAGCACAAAATTTCCTTAGGCCTCACCTTGACAGACCAAATTAGAAAACTAAAACAGAATTCAAACTTAATTTATAAATGTAATATTCCAAATTATGTAGGCAATTCCACCACTAGGCAATATGCCTTAGTGCAGTTGTATGGGTTTTCATTCTCAGCAGACCTCTTAATATGTGTTTATAAAGAACTAAGATTTCTGTGAATGCATTTTTGTGCTTGTACTCTTTCCTGGGCACTTTGTCACTCTCTCAACTTTTATTTTTTTTTATTTTATTTTTTTTTTTTCAGATTAATGTTTAAATTAACCCTCTGATTTGCTAACAATTACCATGATGTTAAAAACTTTTATTTGAAAAACCCTCCCAAAATGGAGCATATATCAAATTGCGTGTTGGTAATTAAAAACATGCATTTCCATCATTCAGGAAGCAGACAAACCTAGTGTGCTTATTTCCTTGCACTTGCCAGGCAGGAGAACTTATATTATCTCATTAAAACATGCAACTTCAGTGGCAGCAACAAACTAAACTCAGAAGAACACCAAGTGCTGCTTTTTTGCAATGAATAGCAGCTAAAGAACTCAGTAATATACATATTTGTGTTTTCAAGTAAATAACCCAAGATGCAGAGTGTAATAGAATGATTCTGCAACGACTCTTGGCTCTGAAACAAATGGACAAGACAAATAGAAGGTAGATTTTAAATGTTATTTGTCTCCCTGTAAATTATGCATTTTTATTTTAAATGACTTTGCTCTTTAAATAATTAAATAAACACTAGGTTAAAACCACTCATTTATGTGTCATAAGACTGCTCAGTGTTAAATGAGATTAAACGAGTCTTTCATTTTTGGTTAATAGTTGAATTATTAATTGTGCTTGTATGCCTCTATAGGGATTATTTGGAGAAGAGAATTTAGGCTATGTTATCCAAAGGAATTCAGAGTGTCTGTTTTTAATTCACTGCTGAATTAACTGTGCTGGGGTCTGAGGAAAAGGCTGCTGGCCACCAGCCAACAGCAATTGCCACAAGTCAAAAGAGCTGCAGGCAGCAGGTCAAATTTAAAAAGTACAGAATGCTAAAGCTCAATTATTTAAATCAAAAAAACTATCAAATAAGCAGTTGAGAGTATTTGATTGGGAGCACATGGAAACCATCTGTTCCTCTTAAAGCAAACCCCCAGTAATAAATACAGGCAATCAGTGCTGTTAGCTGGCTACATTTACTTAGGACACTGGGATGCCATTCTCTGACAATTTATAAAACACATTTCAGATTATTTGTGGGGAAAAACGTGTACATATGCACATGTGACATGCTCCACAAAAGTGTGAAGAGTCTTACCTGGTTATTCTTCACTACAAATTAGTGTTGTGTAAGTATAGATTTTTTTTCTGCTTTTTTTATTTTTTTAAAATTTCTTTTTCTTAGTGGTCTGTCCATTCCAGATAGATTTCCAACAGAGTTCTGAACAATGTTATTTTACATGTAGTCTTTTTGAATGGTCAAAAAATGTCTTACACTTATTTTATCTTTTTATAAAAATGGTCTGGTCTTTAGTGCTGGAAATGATTGAAAGTGAAGCAGAAATATCTCTCTGGTTTGATAGCAAAACATTTTTGATAGCTGTTGTGATAATTAATCCATTGTTGCTTGTTATAGGAGAGGTTTATAATAGTTGAATTCATTACCACTAACTGGGATAATTAAATAAAAGCAAGTGCACAGGGGGCTTGTCCTGCAGTCATTTTTCTAAGCTGAAGTGCATATTTCCTGCATTTCAGCCCCATGGCAACCTCTCTCCAAAAACAGGAGTATATTTGGTGCTAATATACAGCAGCATTTTGAAATTTTATGGGAAGTTTCTCCCAGATAGATGGGACTTGTCTTCTGTTTGTGAATGGTTGCAGTGAACAAATGCAGTGATCAGGCACATGAAACTGCACAGAGGTGCTGGAGAGGGGCTGATTTTTCATGGCTGTACATCTCTAGTATCACCCAAATATCAAATCTTGCTGGCAGTAGAATAACAGACTATTCTGGGTGGGAAGGGACCAGGGGAATGACTGAATCCAAGCTTTACATCTGTGGCTCCTGTGGGGATCAACCCACAGCTCCGGTGTGGTTGGCACCGTGCTCTAGTACTGGACAAAAGAAACGGGTTCCTTACCTCCAGAATTCTTCAGTCTGCCTGATGACTTTCAAAACATTAATTTGCACAGGCAGAAGGTGTTAGTGGGAGCTCTGTGAATATCCAGGCTGGATTGCCACAGGGGTACACACAGATCACCACCTCTTAATCCATTTCAAGTACGAATTTACTTGTTAAATTCTTCCTGTCTTTTCCTTCTTTACATTCAGTATCTGGTCTTTTGGTGGGTAATTCTATGTTCCAGGCAGGAGTTTTGGAGCTCCACTCAGCTTCCTGATGCCCAGGAGCCTGGGATAAATAGCTGTTACATACACAGCAAGTGCAATAATTCTGGAGAGATCCCTGAAGTCAGTTTTGATAGCTCTGTGCTGCCCGGTGCCTGTGCCTAAATTAATACCCAATGGTTCTGTTGTGGATGGAGTTTAATTGCTGCCAGTCACTTCAAAACCTGAAGAGTATTTTAGATGCTTCACAGAAGCAGAGAATTGAAACAGCAGGAAGTCTTCAGGTCAAGAAAAAGCACAAGAATGTCAGTGCCTTTTAAAATGGTCTGTTTCTTTTGAGGATTTCTGTGCTTGTGAAAGCAAAGTACAAGAGACATGGAATCCTCAGTGCCTATCAGGAGGCTGATATGAAAGCTCAAGTCTCACCTAAGCAGCCTCATGAAGTGCTGTCCAAAGTAAAGCTCAGGAGGACATTTTTAGCATCAGGAGCTGGTGGAGGAGAGGGCTGGAGGGTTGAATGAAGATGTCATGTCTCATCACTTGTGTCCTGCTCTGAGAGGGAAATTGAGTTTTAAAAGTTACAGTGAGTGTGCCCAGGAAGTCACAAGATCCTTCCACTTGCCCTTGCAAGAGGAACAACTGGAAGTCTTCAAACCAGCTGAGCTTCATAGTTGGATACCTGTGCAAGTGAGAGATTTAAGGAACCAGGCAAAGATATTCTGAACATAGTGCTATAATAAACTACTTACCTTTGAAAACTAGGACATCTAAATTTGTAAAATAAACCTAGGAAATTGTTAAATAATTTGCATAAATACAGAAATCTATCTTTGTACATTAAAAATCATGAGAAGAATGCCCTCTCACTTTATTTTTTCCTCTTAATTTTTCTTGGTACACATGATTTTGGCTGAGGAAGATTGGTAGGATAATATATAATATCCTTTATGTCTTCTAGTTTTGGCTGGTAAAGATTAAAGTTTTGGGCAGTCCAGCTACATGGAATTTAGTAAACTACTTGGTGATGGTATGTGAATTTCTGAAACAGCAAAATGGGGCATAATTAGTAAACTACTTGGTGATGGTATGTGAATTTCTGAAACAGCAAAATGGGGCATAATTCTCACTTTTTGTGAGTGTAAGGTGTCCTTTGCATCTTTTGAGTTTCATGGGTTGGAGAAAGGCTAGACTGAAGTTCAGGTCAAGCAGTATAATAAAAATGTAAGTCAGAAGCCAGAAAGCACATTCATAACGTTTTTTTTCTGGGAGTTTTGTATGAAAACATGTTTTGTTTTCCTTCACTGTGGTGCTCACTCATTTTTCTCCATCTGTGCAGCTGTGAAGTTGCACCAAGGGGGAGACCTCATGTAAACCTCTGTTCTTTGAAGTAAAAAATCTTCACTAAATAAGAGTGGCTCTAAAGCAGCTTAAAGGCAAGCAACATCATGTACTTGATGGGAACAAAAAATCACTTTTAAAGCATTCTTTGGGTAGTCCTTCAGAATGTTTTTACCTGAGTCAAACTGCAAATCTGAAATTTGGAATGCAGGTGCTGTTGTGATCATTTGGAATAATGATCTTTCAATAACACAGTGTTTTGCTTCAATATATTTCAAATATCTTTGTTCAGTTGCATAAAGTTATGAATCAGTTAATTACAAGTACAGATGGGAAAGCCAAACCACTCCATGTTGATGACTCTAGAAATAATGCACAACATAAGCACTTTGAAATTTATGTAGAGGTGGCAGCACACTGCACAATTTTTTTTGTACCAATGGTTAGGCAACTAATTACAGTGTTCTGTATTTGTGCTGTCACTAAATGGTTTCACAGTGTGTAGCCACATCAGTTCTGTTCTTGAATTTGGCAACTTCAATTATTGCTGATAAAAGCTGACTTGTTCAGAAAGTCTAAACTATGGGAAGTATGCTATTAAATTCTCCAGGGATCCTGTTTTCATTTAAACTGCTTTCTTTAGTATCAAAAACTTGAATTTTCAATGAACAATTGAATAAAAAATGTCAATTATTAAGCAGAGCTCAAATCTTAGAATGTGGAGTTCCCTTCTGGCTTGTGTAGGAACTGTTTTATTTCAGAATAAAAATTCTGCAAGACAGTTAAACATTTTAAGATAAATTTTCTCCTTTACATGAGTGAGCAAACTATACATTTTGCTTTTTGTGGGGTGCATGAGTGTAATGTGTTCTTGCAACGTCCATTAAAATAAGGTAGAGAAGACAGCACGCTTGTATGCTCCTGACAAGCTTTTAAAACTAAACTCTACATTGGTGGTAGGTGGAGAAAACAATTACATCTTGTGGAGTGAATCACAAGTAATTCTGGAGTTGTGGGTCAGACTGAAATCCCATGGAACTTGTAGCCTGCAAGTAACAAATTGTATTAATGCCAAGGAAGCAGCTATTTGTGCAGAAGTGCAAGAGATCAACAGGTAATCCTCTTATCAAAGAGTTTGTAATGAAAACTGATAACCCAGCAGAAGAAATAATGCATCCAGGAGTGAGTAATATGATGGTAAGATGCTGAGGCTTTTCCTAGAATGACTTTATCAGGGCAGAGGAGTAAGACTTGCTGTGTTAAGGGAAACTAGTCAGAAATAGGAGTAGAATGAAGTGGGTAAGCAAGGACAGGAGGCAGAGTAAGCTAAAGGCCAGGGGGCTGTGAAGGCAACAAAAGGGAAATTTGGGGCTAATGACAGAATTCCACGGGGGAGGGAGGTAGAGAGCTGGCTGATAGCCTTGGAGAGGCAGCTGCTTTAGGAAGCAGCACAGATTCAAAATAGTTTCAAGAATATGTCAGAAATGAAGACAACAAAAGAAAATTTCCCCTTTCTCCATTGCAGTGCTTGGCTGATGCACCTTGCTAAATATCTTACAAGGTGTGGGGATGTTCTGTGTTCCAGGCCATTTCACCAGCTCCATCTCCTGATAAGCTTGCTAACATCTGTTCTCAAGCTGACATTTATTTTATTTCCTATGCTATCCTTGAGGTAAGTTCTTTTCTCTGGTCCCCACCGCAGCTCTCTTGTCTGAACTGCAGATCTTTTCAGGGGTTTGCATCCATTGCAGGAAGTTTTGCACAACAATTCTTCACTTTCTCACTTCAAACGTTACAGGAAAGGGAATTAAGGAGGTTCTAGCAGATTGTTTTCTGTTATTGTTGCTGCTATTCTTGCTTTTTTTTCCCTTCACAACTTTTTCAACGACTTATAGCTGGGTTTTGGAGAAATGAATGACCAGCTATTGACAAGTAATATTCATTACAAGTGTCATTGGTGGCTGTGTGCACTTTATCAAATCCATAATCTGGCAAGCATTTGATTAGAAAGTAAAATGCTGTACGTAATTCTGAGTTTAAATTTTTCTGCTGCACCTGGAGAGTTGTCACATCTCCTTGTACAGCAAACCTCTTTTAGAGGGCTGTGGACTTTTGTTGTCAGTCAGCACAAAAGTTCTTTCATAATTTTTGTGGTCACTGAAGTATACCACGTTTTTTATTTTTTTTTGTCAGCACATTTTAGTCTCCTAGGTGTTTACAGGAGCTGCATTTTCTTCACAGTGTTTTTCACCGCATTCCTAAAAAATTTAAAGGCGCCTCCTTTGAACATCACAATGATCTGAAAGATGTGGGGGGTGTGGGGTTGATTTGTTTGTTTTGATGGAGTTTGTTTGTTTGGGGGTTTGATGGGTGCTTTTTAGGTGAAAAGAAGATTCCTCAATTACATCTACTGATAGGAAGGAAGTATTCTCTAGGATAAACAGGCATTCCTTAGGGATTCCCAGGGAAAGTGGTTTATGAGAGAGCAGAACAAAGAAACTGTCAAGATTGACAAATAATGAGATATCTGCAGGATGAAAACACTTTGCTTTTAAAGTAAGTGTATGTTAAAATACCAGTGCAGGGCTCTGTTAAAAGACTTGATAGAAATGTATAGATAGAAAATAGAGTTCTAATCTTTAAAGGATCAGTTTTATACATAGTCAGGAAATACTCAGGACATGTTGCATTAATAGTATTTAATAAAATTTTAACTCAAACTATCCATTTATGATTTTTTTGCTGAAGCCATTTTGAACATTAGCATGGCAAGTAGGAAAAAAATGGCATCCATCTCCAGAGGAACACATTTCTAGTTTCAAATTAATACATAATATAGGTTGTATAAAGTGTAAGAACAGGTGCAAAATACAGAATACTAATGATATCAATTAGAAATTGAATCAAGAATCAATACAAACAATTTTCCAAAGCATTTTTAGCAACAGGAAAATATTCTTTGTCAGTGGTGCATTCTAGTTTGAGCAGGATTTTGAGAACTTTAGTTTAGTGAGTTTGAAACTTTGGTGCTGGTGTGAGAAATGACTTAATGTCTGCATCTTATCAATTAGTCATATTTGTCTGCCCTTGTTAGAAACTGATATTGTTATGCATGATGCAGCCTAAAGTCACTTGTGCAAGGAAGACCCTTTAGTACAGTGCACTCTGATTGTGATTTCCTTTGGGATTCCTGAGGAGATAACAGGAATTTGAGAATTGTCATACACTGTATCTTCTTCCTACCACCTGAAGCTGCAGAATTTTCACTAAGTGTTTCCAGAAAAAAGGATTAGAAACATTGGAGGGGCAGAGAGACCCTTCCTCTCTTCATTACTTGAGCTTTTGGCAAACGATGGCACAGATTTATTGAGTTGGAAATGCCTTGAAAAGCATTCATTGCATTTGATTGTGCCTTGTGAAGAACCTTCCAGAAATTGTAGCTCAGACTTTTAAAAAAACTCCTGTGTTCCACCACATCTTGTGGCAATGAATTTCATGATGCAACTATGTATTTTAAAAATTACTTTTAGCATTACTTTCCTTTTTGGACTTTTCATGTGCTACCTAATAGTTGAATTGATGGTTTCCCAGTTCTTGTACTGTGAGAAAATGCATTACCCCACATTTATCTTCCTCACTATTTCTCAGGATTTTATAAATCTCTGTAGAATTCTAATGCCTCTTTCTCCACTCTTCTAGTCAGTTCTTCTATGGAGTTGTCTTCCCTAACCTTCTTATTCCCCCTCTCTGTGCTCTGTGGCCAGACTGGCTGCAGGATGAGATGCCATTCTTCCATGAATTTAAATCAATAAGAATTGCCAAATATAATGTAATAATTCTATGGGTTATATTTCTTTATTTTTCAGAGAACTGGTCACAGTGAGATGATAATGATCTCTTTTCTGAACTCTGTTGGTTTGCTTCAGTACCCATCTCTGAAAGACTCTTTTTTCTTTAGCATGAAGTGCTTTGGACTTAACTGATATTTATCCCCAAGTTGGTCAGGATATGAAAAGTCCTTCCTGCAAGTCTCAGTCTAGTTATTTTGAAAAAAAAATAAAAATAAAAGTGTTGAGTATGTAATTCCAGAATAATCTCTGTGGCAACACTTATTGGTGCTGGATTATTTTATTCTCTCCAACTGAAATGTATGAAGCAAGCAGAGTAAGAGAAAATAGAAGTTCTAAGATGCCTGCCAGTGCAGTGAATGATCTACCTGTCAGCACATAGTCTGCTCATGAAGATGAACATGTGCTTTCCTGCAATGATTTACATGGCTTGGTATGTTGGGAACATTATTTGCCTCAGTGAAGATGTCATTTTTCCTGCTTTTCCTAGATTTGTGTAGACAGATGACTTCATGGCTAGGATTCTTTGTCTCTGTGCTGAATTGCTGCAATACTTTACTGTCTCTGGGGCTTATTATGGAGTGCTTGCTGTGCCAACACTCATCAGCAGTACTGTACATGCAGCTCTTCACATGCACAACTACTGCAAAAAGCTCTACAAGAAGAATTGTTTGATGGATTCAGGGGGAGATGCTTTTGCTGTTGTGCTTTTTTTAAATGGGTAAGTGCTGAATGAGCCCAGAGGAGGCTCCAGGATGAGCAGAGGGATGGAGCAGCTCTGCTGGCAGGAAAGGCTGCCACAGCTGCCATTGTTCACCTGCACAGGAGAAGCTTTGGGCTGAGCTCAGGGTGATCCATCTCCAGAAATGTCCAAGGCCAGGTTGGACATTGGGGCTGGGAACACCTGGGACAGTGGGATGTGTCCCTGCCCATGGCTGGGATTGAATCAGATGATCTTTAATGTCTCTTCCAACCCAAACCAATCCAGGATTCTCAGAACACAGCCAGTATAGGTCCTTGTTCAGAAGGGTGCCTAAGAATACACTTACTCTAAGCAAATGCCTGAAACTCTCCTTGAGATATGAGAAGACCAAAATCCACAAATTTTGTTAGTGGGTGATCTAACAGAGTTCCATTTTGTCCCACTTGCTTCTCTTGAGATTATCTCAACATTTTTGGGATTTCTTACTTCAAAAGAAGTCCTCTGAAGCAGCATAAAATACCTGGAGTTATGTCATTTAGCATTTTCTCTTTCCTGGAGAGAAGTTGTAGTTTTTGTAACCAACCAGGTATGTTAGTACTTGTAGCTGAATGCAATAGTGAATACTAAACTTGAGCTAAATAGCTTTTACTGTAAAATCCAATTCTGCCTTTATTTCTTTGATACTAGTTTGTTTTGTTTTTTTTTTTCCCCTGATAGCTAAGATGGATGTTTTCAACAGAAATCTGCACTTTGTGCTCCCCAAACCCTTCTTGTGGACTTTTTCAACAGCTTGGAGAACAGGTGTGCTAAGGTTTAACACAGAGTTTATGATCATTTTGATAGGACTTGCCAGTAACTCCTTTTTTTTAAAATAAAAAAATAATACTGATATTACTGCTACAAGCTACCATGATAAAATAAGAGGATCTTGAATAACAATGTTGTAATTATTGGAGTTTCTAAAATATAAAAAACCATTAAAAATTTTCCATATAATCCAAAAGCTGCATTTTGCTTGCACACATCTCTATCCAGAGCATTTTTAAGGAGGTGAATTATGTCACTGTGGTCAGATAAAACATACTCTTTGTCCATTTTTACATATTTTTACATCACCAGGGTTGTACAGGCTCTTAGAAGATAACTGATGCTTCCATGCAGTGTTTGAGGCCACAGTAAACCTCCAGAACACTCCTGGTTCCTTCACAAAGACAGATGTTTATTTACCATGATACAGCTTTGCAATTTTTAAACAAAATGGGTAATATTTATTTATTATAGAACTTATGCATCGTGTCTGTCTTTTTGTTACCAACATTAAGATTTATTTTTCTTTTATATCTCATCTCTCTTGTCTAGTGCTGCTTGCAAGTGCAACCCATTCAAAAGACTCCTCCCTGTAACTAAATTCCTTGGGAAGAATATGCATCAAAAGAATGAAGATATTTGCATCTTGCTCACCTTCAGCAGTGGGCACTGTGTGTGTCCCAGAGGGAAATGGGCACAAAAGATGCAATAATTGGCAGTTGTCAGCTGTGTGTCTCTGTTCCAAAGCCGAGGAGTGTTTGTCATTTGCTGTTTGTGATGGCACCTGGTGAATGTGGCAGGGGGCAAATGCCTCACCAGGCTACAGCTCCACACTCAGCTGTCAGCAAAAACAGGGGCAAAACAAACAAACTTAAACAGGCTCCTGATGGATTGCCCCAGATTTCCCACGGGGAAAAATAGAAATAAAAAAAATACAAATCCTCACAACAAACAACTCAGAGAATTTTTTGTTCTCTTTACAGGTAAAGTTCTGCTTCTCCTGAATTTTTGAAGGAGTTTGGCCACCACAAGGCCTGGAGAAAGGGAGGTAAATGCACTCTTGCAGTGACTAATTTATAAAGGTTTTTTCACTACTTGTGCTGGGGATTAGTCTTCTGGTACCATTCTTGACCTTTGAGTCTGATCCAATTTGCAATGAAGAAGCTGGAATTATCTAGGGGCGTTTTTGAATGAGGGAGCCATAATCATAGAATTACAACTTTATAGAATCTTTCAGGTAGGAAAAGACCCTTAAGATAGAGTCCAGCCATTAAGCCAGCACTGCTAGACCCACCACCAAACCCTGTCCCTGAATGCCACATCTATATGGTTTTTAAATATCTCCAGGGGTGGGAAATTAGTATTTGAAAAAATATTAGTGAAATAGGCTTTTTTCTATACAGTATTAGGCTTGTAATCTACCAGTGGCATATTGTTATAAATACAATAGTAATCATTGAACAGGATATTTGACAAAGGAAAGAAAACATGTTTAATAAAGTGCATTCTTATTCAAATTTTGTACCAAGAAATGTGTTTTTATTAACAGATAAAACAGTTTGTTTATATCCCCTCCCAAATGCAGGACATCTGTATTTTGTGTTTATCATGGTATATATGCAGCATAAGATACACTAAACAATACTCATTCATACACATGTGATTTTATTACAGACAATCCAAATAATCAATCCTGGGTTTTGTAGATTTTGTCTTTTTTCAAAATATCTTTGGTTTGATTAAAATTATTTCTTTTAGAAGGCTTCTCTCTATCACCTGCTCTTGTCCTCACATGCAGTGGTGCTTTTCCAGGCAGATTGTGCAGGGTCTGTGCATTGTGTGGCTCCTGGAGTGTTTGGAGGGGTAGGGAATGATCTCCCAATGCACAGAAAAGCTCTCTGGGCACCCTTAAGTCCCACACCTTTGATATGCTCACAGTATTTGCTAAAGCAGTTTGTGGTTTAACCTTCCTTGATAGAAATGCTTCCCCCTGCCAGGCCCTGCTTCTTTCCTGCACCTCTTTGCATTTTGGGGCAGTCTTGTATTGTAGAAGGTCCCTGAACAGGCTAAAATTTCCTTTCCTGAAGTTCAGAGCTCTAATTCAGCTGGGTTTTCTTCTGCTCACTTCTCCTAGGATCTTCAGCTCCATCATGTGAACTTTGCAGCCAAACCCACCGTGGACCTCACCATCCTCAAACAGGTTTTCCTGTTTATGAGGTAGGAGGTCCAAGAGTGATTGTTCAGCCTGCAGAACCAAGTCACCTCCTGGCTAACCTGCTGATCACAGCTTTGAGTCTTCCAGCAGAAGGTTTTCCATCACTTTTCAACTTCAGAGTATATGAAAACCAATGAGGTGGGGGAGAGACAAAACCCAAAACATTGCTTGTTTTTTCATGCTATTTGTTAAAGCTGCTGGTCCTGGATTCTCTTTGACATCTTCCACATTTCTCTTTGTTTTGTCACCTGGCTGTAAATAACACAATAATACACTTTCCTGGCCCTTAGGAAGGCAGTGCTCTCCCACTTGTCTTGTACAATGGACTTGAGAGGAGCTTTCCTGGCAGCCCCTTGAAGAGCTTTAAATTGAAACATCCTTTAGTGTGGAGTGGTAATCAAAATGCTTGTGTGCCGTATGGGAGAGGAGAAGGAAGCGTTTTTCAGCTTTATGGCACAGAGTTTTTCCCATTGTTGTAAGAGTTCCTTCATTAAAGAAGCTACCTTAAATTGCCACAGAGGTCCCAAAGAAATTCTAACAAACCTTTGCTTTTGGAGAGCAGCATTTGGATCAGCTGTAACTGTAATTGTACCCTGTTGTCACAGGTTCTCTGTGACTTTGCTTTGAGAGTTCTCCTTCATCCAGAAAGTGCCTTTGATTTGAAGCATTTTCTCTTAGGTCCTAGTGTGAAATATTATCGTGTGATTTTCTCTATCATCTCCAGCAACTGTGTATTGTTGAGGGTCAGGTTTTCTCCTCCATAAATATCCCCTTTTGGTATGGTTTTAAAGACTGTAGCACTGATGCTACATGCATTACAGCAGTGTGCTCTGTGTGTAGTTTGGCAGCAAACTATAAATTGTAGTAAGTGCTGCCATTACAATATTGAGTGTTTTCCCACAGGAGGAAACTGCTCTTTGTATTCCTTTGGTAAGAGTTTTCAGGAATTTCTGAGGATCTGGCCTAGTGATGGAGGACAACATGAAAATTAAATTTATTGTTTTTTAAATTTATTTACCAGGTTGTTGTAGTAGCGATAGGTCTTGTACTTTGTCATTTTTTCACTCATTCAATTTTTAATATTATCTGATTGGAATAATTTCATGTAATTGGTTTCCATTCTTATGAGCTCATATGAAACTTCATTTTTTCTTCAATTGCTCATCTGGCTCTAGATGAATACAGATGGGTTGCCAAGCACCCAACACTTCTTGAGGTCATGTATTTGGAACCACTTTCCATGTGATTTCATAATCCATGGCTTCTAGACTAGATCCCTAGGCAGGCCAACTTGCTTGGCATCTGCTCTCCAGATTTCCTGACTGTGGGGGATCCCTAATGAGCTGTGATGGGAGCTGTGGCAGGTGCAGACTGAAATTAAGTTCTACAGTCAGAATAAAAATCTCCTGTGTTAATCAATGGTGAGTAGCCATGGAAATGACAGATATTTTATCCATATCCATCTAGAACTGCCAAAGTTGCTTGAGTGTCCTGCTCTAAATTTTAACAAGTAGTTTGGTACCTTGAAGTGGATATTTCATTCTAGAAATGTCATATTTGGCAACAAGTACACGCTCCTGAGTTTTGGCTCGTTGTTCTGATTTAGTGTTATTTTTCTTGAAAAAAATAATTCTGAGAAACTGAAATGTCATTTCTGAACTTCCTTTCATCACATACATGTTCCACCAAATATATACAAAATAAAACTAAAACTAATAAAACCACTAAACTGTACATACCTCTAAAAGCTGAGAAATAACTGGCATTTGGCCCCTTCTCACAGGTACATTATGATTACATTTTGTTCCCCACCAAGAATGGTCTGACTATGAAAGCTGAGCTTTCTTACTCAGCTCCTTGTTGTTTCTGCCTCCCAGCTCTTTATCCTCCAGAAATACTAACTAACCCCGGTTTGTTTGGGGTTTTTTATTTTGCTTATCATCAGCCTCCTCTTCTTTATCAAGTCAGCTTTTTGGCACATTCTTTGCACCTTCAGACTGCTCCTTTTCTTTCTTTAGCTTATGATTCAGTGGTGTCAGAATGCCAGCAGAGTGCAAGGAGACAAAAGATCTCAGCTTTTCATGCCAATACCTGATTTTGTCTTGTAACAGCAATTATTATTAAACCCTTCTCCACTACCAAAGACCAGGACATGCTTAGTAAGCCCAGGGCACTGGAAAATGAATTTAATATCCCCTTTCCTCCAGAGACACAATGCTTGTAAAGTTTGGTCAGCAAAATCCAACAGTTTGAGCTGTGAGAGGTTTCAGTTCAGTCACTGAGAACAGATTCTTTCCCTTGTTATTCTTTGAGTGCCTGCTTACATGTGTGGGAAGTGTGGAAATGCTAGCAGGCTTCAAAAACAAAAAAGTCTGGGAACTATTTTACATGTGCAAAATTCCTCTCTCCCACTGCCAGTCTCAGAAATGGCTGAGCAGGAGGAAAGCATCAAAAATGAGAAAGAAAAGCTCAAACAGAGAGAGAGAGAGAGACCCAGGGTAGGAAATGCCAAGAGCTGGCTAAAGTTTGAGCCAGAAAAGTGGGATGGTGAAGAAAGAGCTGCAATGGAGTTTTAGTGTTCAGTGCTGCCTGGAGTTCCCCAATATCAGCACTAAATAAACCTGGTTTTTATTTTGTATGTTCAAGTAGTAGTGAGAATAAAGCTCTCTGCTATAAATTCACATCCCTTAATTTGCTCCAGGCTTTGGAACCCAGCAATGGGACAAGTGAGGTGGAATTGCTCATCTTTTTCCTTTCATCATGAGTTGTTTTGTATTGCCAGGGTTCAGAGGAGGTGTAAGAGCAATATCACCTGAAAATCAATTTATTTTACTGCTTGGTTTATTTTGCTCCTTTACCTTTATGGTAATTTTGTCTATTGCATAATTTCCTATTTTTAAACCAGCATGTGAATCTGCTATAATGGTACTTAGATTCATTTTGGAATAGATCCAAACTTACTTATTTGTCAGATATTATTATAATCTGTCTTAACAAGTCTAATAAACTGTGCAGAAGTGGTGTCACTATAAAAGTATTCCCAGAGATGTCTGCATTGATGTGAAGCAGTTCCCTGCCTATTCTGATTTGATCAGAGCTATGCAGCCAGCTTCACATCGGGCTCTTCCAGGCTTGATCACGCAGATTTCCATTAATTTTTCAAGCCTTTCTCTAAAATCTGCTTTATTAATTATTTAGCTGTTTCTTTGCTACAAAGAAATCCAGTGGAAAAGGAATGTCTAAGCTGCTTAACCATTTGGCTGGGTCAGGTTTTTCACTGCACCTCCCTGTCTTCTGTAGAACTGAGGGCTGAGATTCTGCTCTGGTTTTCAGCTGCTGTGCCTCATGCCGACCCACAGAGGTGAATCCATGCATGAAGCTGGGCCTGTGGATGACAAATACCTCCACAATCATTCATATGGACAACTTTGAAGCTTCTTCTTCTTTTCTCAGGCCTGAAAAGTTGAGAGGAAAAGCCATTCATTAATAACTGCTGCTTGGAGGTGTGTTTATCAGCTGCCAGGCTTTCAAATTAGCTCTTCAGGAAGATAGTGCAGTTATTTCTTTTTATGTCACAGAGCTGTCCATCAAAATACTACATCAGAAGTTGTAAGGTATCCCCCAGCACAGGACATTGATCCTGGGGAGAGCTCAGCTTTGGAGTTACTGCCCCCCTGATTGCTGCAGAAAGTACTGAGGATGGTGTTAGCAGGGCTGATCTGCACAGTGTTGGGAGGGTTTTCAGCCTTTCCTGCCAAAGTCTGCATCCAAACCTTGCCCTCCTCATTCCTGGGCTGTTCTTGCTGTGATGTGAAAGGAGAGGAGAGAGCCTGGAGTGGGACAGACAGGAAATTCCTTGGCTGGAGATGACAGCACATCACAGACCCCTGTGGATGTGTGGACCCAGGGCTGGTCAGGAAGGTCTGAACATAAATGAGATGTCTCCAGAATGCCCCATGAGGCACAAGAAATGCAAGACCACAAATGGAAAGAGAATGTGAGTGTTGGCAGACTGGGTTTTTAGGCTCTGATGATACTTTAGTTTAGTTCTCCTATTGCACAATAAGTTCACCTGAGGAAGAGAGAAGCAATCTCTCCTGAGTGACACACTGGCAGAAAACTCTGATATTTTCAAATGCAGTCAACTATTTCTTCTTCAGCAGATTTCTCCTGTCCTGAGGTCTGTGTTTTTGTTGTGCACTTGTGTTTTACAGTTGTGAACCACAATATTTCCATTTTACTTCAATCCAGTAGAGGAATTAGAAACTAACTCTCTAAAAGGCAGTCTCTATTTATGGCACTGCATTTTTCTGTGTCCCTCAATGCAAAAATTATCATAGATTTAACTTGTTTTCCTATATTTGGACTTCTGTTATGGGGTATATACACACTGCATCTTGAGGCATGCAATGTTTTTAGTGCATTTCACATAATGTTACAGATTTTAGCAAATTTCTGTCATCCTCACGGTCTTTGAAGGAATTATAATTTCAGATTTACTCGTCTGCTGCAGCTAGGAACCTCAGACCATTGCCAGATGGGCGATGTATTCATAAATCTTAGAGCTCTGATGCTTTGCATTGTAATATTTGAGTATTTGAATCAAAAGAGAAAAGTGATAAGAAGGATGCATGGATATTATTTGTAATACTTTTTATACACAAATTGCAAACTGGAGAACCTGGCTGGGGAGAAGTAGGAATATCTCAAAGTGGGTTCTGAAATAATAAGATGGTACCATTGTGAAGAAGAAATGCTGGAATCTTTGGGCTTCTTGGTCACCCTCTGTTGCTCCCCAGCTGGATGTGGGGAGAAACTGGGATAATAAAAGTTTTGGGGTGGGATAAAGAGAGGGAAAATCTTTACCAGCTCCTGTCACAGAGATACTCAGCTTGGGCAAAAATAGTTTTAATTCCCAGTTAAAGGAATGGAAAGGGGAAGCAGAGGGGCAGGAATTGATCTCTGCTCCCTGGGCAGGGAAGGGTGGGAGCTGGGCCAGGGCAGGCTCAGGCTGGAGATCAGGGAAGGTTCAGCTTCCCCCAGAGGTGCTGGCACTGCCCAGGCTCCCCAGGGATGGGCAGGAGGCTGCCAGAGCTCCAGGAGCCTTTGGGCAGCGCTCCAGCAGGGACAGGGGCTGGACTGGGTGATCCTGATGGATCCCTTCCAACTCCGCATATTTGTGATTCCAAAATGGTTTGTGAGAAGCCAGAAAGTAAATTGATAAGCACATTGGGAGAGCTCCTTGTATGGAGCTGGCCTGGGAGCTCTCTGGAGAGATTGTGTAGACAAATTGTGTGATAGTTTGATGCTGTTATCATCCAGAGATGCTGCACCAGACCATCTGGAGAAGGAGAAGGCTGCAATGCTGGATTTATAGAAGACAATCAGATCTGAACAAGTGAGATATTTTACCTTCCTGTATCTTGTATTTCTGCCATGTGCCTGATGCAAGTTTATCTTCTGCTTACCCTGTACAGAAAGTTTTATGTGCAGTTAATTCTCTGGACTATCAGCCAGGATATTTTTGCAGTGTGCATGTATTTCCCAGAAGTGCTGGTATATGAGGATCTGGGAATAAGCCATTAAGATTTTGTGAGAGCTTTGTTCTTTCCTACAGGGTGTTGTAAATAACT